TGGAAAAATTGCTAAAGACGCTGCCCATAGATGAGACTCTTTTGCACTTGAGGGTTGTTGTACATTATGTATGATAGTCATCTAAACAATACTAAAGCAGGTAGAGGCTGTCGTTGTGTCAGCTTTAAGTGTGACTGTGAATGAGCTGCTTGTTTACAGAAATTCCCGGTTATTAGTTATTTCTACGCCTCCCTCTGAAAGTCTCAATGTGACTATGCGATAAGGCGAACAGCTTTCCTCCCCTTGCATTGCACACGTATGTCATTACTTTTAAAGGCGCAGTATCTCCAAGTTGCAGAAGGACACGTTGATAGCAGAATAAAGCACACACTCGTAAACGTTTATGCCAGTGTTTCTCACTGTATGATTACGTTTTTATGGCTCATATTCTGATATGGCTTGTTTTTGCTGCCACTGCCAAAGCAATGAGACAGGCCCAGAGGTGGCATTTCTCCTTTGCTTTATGGGAAGGGAAAGAGGAGGGTGGGGTGAGGTGGGGGGGAAGGGCGGGTGCCTGCAGGAGAGTCCTGCTCGGTTTCGTTCGGTAAACACACTGCCAAGCTAAATGGCTGATCAATCAATTTCGGTGGGATCGATCTGCATCAGTTCTGCCTGCATGCACACACCCGGAGCCACTTTATTGTAAATCAATCATTTTGAAAACAACTCACAGAGGGGCCCGTCCTCACTAACAAGCCATCAATTCCAGCTGCCTGTGTAGCACCCTTATCAGGCCACAAATCAGCGTCCACACAAACATCTGCTCCGTTTCCATCTTTTGCCCCGCTCCGTGTTTTTACCCCCACTGCTTGTCGTGTTTTTGATGGTGTGTCTGGCGAGAAGGAGAGAGGAGAGGCTGCGAATCTTCACCACACCACTTAAGATAACCCAAGGGTAATAGTGTTTGCACATTTGAGAGAGAAATGAGGACAAATGCCAGGGTGGGTCATACATTCTCCTTCTGTCCGGCTGTTTGACATTGGAGTGTGAAATTGCACACTTCAACTGAGAAGCTAGAGGAGGAGGAGGAGGAGGAGGAGGAAAAGGAGCAGCGGGCAAGGCCAGGAGACGTATGAGATGTCCACTGATTTCTAGCTATGAGAGAGGAGAGGGTCGACGTCTGAGATGTCATCATAACACCTTAGAATTGGTGCTGCTTATGATGTTTGAAAGGAGTCTCAGGAGATATCTCAGTACCCTTGACACAGGTGACACATTGTTTAATGCAAAGTATCTAATGCGGATATTCAGCTGGAAAATACGGCGTTCTACACAAAGGTTAGAAAAACCTTTAACTTTGGCTCTGTTTAATGACAAGCTTATCACCGGCCAGGCTTTGCTCAGACAGGTTAAAGCTCCAACAGGGGCAGGGGGATTACTTTCTCAATATATCATTGCCCCCTGAAATAACTGTATCTGTAAACCAAATCCACATTAAGATGCTGCACACCTCGATGTGCTGCAAAAACATTTTGCAGCTCTGACATGACAGCACAGCGAAGATACCAGGTATGATGTCCTTTGCTCATCCGCTGTCACCGTCGCCAACGAGATATACGAGCCAGTGTGGACAGAATGTTATTCGAATGCTATTCCCACCCATCACTGTGGATCCCCGATGATTGACAGCCTGACAGGTGAAAGTGATGGAGCAGCTAATAGCATGTCAGTTAACGTAAATCAAGACTAATGCCGGGCTCAATGGATAAGCGGATTGGCGGTGCAACTTGGACCGCGGGGTCACCGACCCCTCCGCAGAGGGGGGATTGGTAAAATACAATTTACGTTTAGCTGAGGTTTCCCTGGTGATAGTCAAGGTCAGGCACTGGGTCTATTGGAACTTCACAGTATACCTTTATATTTGATATACACTGTGAAGTAGTGAAGTGACATGTGAGCGCATGTCTTGTGATTTTTGATTTAGTTGTGTTTCAAAGGTGCTGAGATTATAAATGTAATCCCCGCAGTGAATTAAATGCTTTGATGGTTAACCCAAAGGCACGGCTTCTCATGAGGAGCTGGTTCCTTTATGGACTCAAGTCTTTGCTTTAGGGCTCAATAAGGAACACAACTAAAAACGTACAGTGTATTTCTCCCCAACTGTCCCAAGTGTGAGACGATTCAGTAAATGTGTCAGTACATATAAACCGGTATTGTGATGTAGGCTTCTTAAGGTCTGTGTATGTTCTTGAAAAAACTCTTTACCCTGTTTTTTGTTTATTCTGCAGTAGTAACCAATTCCTCTCCATAGTAAATCAAAAAACTTAAGTAACCCAAAGAAAAAAGCTCTTGTAGTAATTATTTGTCACTCCAGTGTTTTTAAATGACATGAAAACTCACATAATTATGACAGTTTTGTTTTTCACTTGCTCAAAGTACTTAAAATATTCAACTTCTTTTACTTTCAAGATTCTCTTGTATCCACGTTTTGGCACATTACATACTCTCCCATAACTTAGATTTCATATATATATGCATATAAAGAAAAGTGTGACATTCAAGTGTTACCCAAATGTATGAACTTTTTAGGATAACTTTTGTTATTTCAATTGAGCTTTCATTCACTTACTGTATCTGATTCAGAATATGGTGGTGGTCGCGTGTGTCTTCTCTGCTTTTGCTGCAGGGCCACTGTCAATGAAATCTTGGAGGGGATGGTGAAAAAATGACTCCCACATAATGGAAATGAATCAAACAATTTCAGTGTTTAAGTATAAAAGGATCTTAACTTACATTTTACAGCAAGGTTGACATTTTTGCATTAACCTGGTCCTCCTAATTGACTCCTTATTTCGAATGGACCCTTTCAAAAGATCATCTAAACCCTTAAAAAAATCTATTATTTTTATTTTGTAATTTTTTGGCATTTACTGTAAATTGCAATGTTATTTCAGGGTGATACTGACAGTAATTTCCTAATTCAAAGGCTTAATATGCGATTTTTCACACTGAAGTGTAATAGAAATCAAGTATATCCTCTGAAAATAACTCTGTGAGTCATGACTGTCTTGAGCTTTCCGAGTCCTATCTTCACTTTGTTTACATCGCTCGGACGGCTGGCCGGCTCATCCCCTTGAGTATAAAAGTTGTTTAATTGAGGGACTAGAGAAAAGAAGAACAACATACTGTACTCACTGCTTAATTGAATGTCACGTAAGCGTTTCTAGATCACGGTCTATTCGGATAAATTTACATGCAGTGTGAAGATACGAACATAATAAAAATCGCTAGCATTAGCATGCTAACACAACAATGCAGCGCGAGTTGTTTTGGTTTCATGCTGGTGCTCAAGGGCGACATCTGCTGGATCAAAAAAAATGGCATATAAAGCCTTTAATGGTGTGCAGTTTGTGTATAAATAAATACAATATATTTATGGAATAACAAGGCGGTATACATTGTAAACACATATCTCAATCTTCAAACGACATTTCCCTCTGAAACTGTAGCATCAATGAAAAATGTACAGAGATGTTAGCATGTCTTTGTAGTTTGAATAAAAAGAGGAGAGTTTCATTGTTTAGAACACAAATACATCCATTTTAATTTGAGAAAATACAAAAAGAAACCATGTACAATCTATGTACAAACTTTTTGTACAAGACAGTATATTTATCAGCAGATTATATTTGACAGAGTCAGGTAGATCAACTCAGCACCATCAAATAATCCATTTATCCGTCATATCTAGAACACATCCAAACTAATTAGACTGCTATGTCGAACTCCTGTTTGCTGCAATGAAGATGTGCCAACAAATCTTATCTGTGATACGCAAGAGCAATGTCCTGAATGCTTCCTGAACTGATAGGCAGCCAAAAAAAAAAAAGAAGGAACATTTCTTAAAAAAAGAAACATCAAAATTGCTGAATGCAATCTCAATGTGTTTTTAAGACTTGAGACCCACCTCCCATCCCCCATAAGTATTATATGTTCTATTATATCTGGTACAATTCCCAGCAAATAAGTTATTATATCCATCCTTTACAGCAACAAATAGATTAACAAAAATGATGCAACATACTGTGACAGAAACGTACTACGCATCATAGTCTTTGATTTGTTCCGTGTACAAAAACACATGTGATGTTACAGGCACTGGGCCTTTAAATGCATCTTTCAGTCATCCGTATGTAAATACACAACATGACAACCTAATAACCTGGAAACAAACACAGTAGAGACAATATGTATATACCATATCCATCTCTCTCCGCTCCTGCAGCCCCTCAGACTTCCTGAATGCCACTTTTCGTTATAGCGGGACTTAATATGGGTCCTCCTCTTGACCTCGTGCACTGCCTGGCACTATACTGACATGGAGGCATTGATGGCTTGGATGTTCTCCATGTCAGTACAAGACACCGTTTTCACAGTGGAAAACACACGGACTCAGCTCGGTCATAGCGAGCTTGTGTCCCCTGAATGACTGAAGGATGCTTGCGTAACTAAATTCTTCATGGCACTTCAAAAAAAACTCTAAAAATCTTTAGAGGTATACAATGCAAAACAAAAAACAAAAAACATCTAGACATAAAAAGAGACATTTGAAAAGGTGTAGGAAGAAGAGACATCTCAGTCCAGTGTTGTAAAATAATGCCTGTATGAGTCGCACAATGAGTGTTCAGGTAGAAAAAGCACAGTAGTCAAGTGTAATGAAAACAAATGGTGCATTACTTTACGAGTTTGTGTTGATGCCAGTTTGCAGCATGTTCCGTTTTATTTCTGAGCAATGCTATGTTTAAGTATCTCAAAGCAATACTCTGTAAACAAATAAGAAGCAGTGGTGACAGATGACAAGCTGACAAAATGGAATGTAAACCCTGTAATAACACAAAGTCATTTAAACAGGGAAATTAAGGATGTTCTCTCTTTTGATAACCTTTGCTGAATTGGTGCTACCTCCCATCGTTGTGATGGCCGATTAACCAGATCAAATCCCACCTCACTTTTCCTACTCATAAAACCTCGACATCCCTACAGGAATCCAGGATCTTTCATTTTCAACATCGACATTAATCTTTTTTTTTTTTTTTTTTAGCTCAACAATCAATTTGTCAATTCTATGTATAATGCGTCATTGCCATTATCAAATATGAGTAGTTCCTTATTTTTCCGGCTGGCAAATAGGCCGTGAACAACCCAATTAAACATACATATTACTAACATATCTTCTGAAAAGAAATCTATTTGCTACAAAGTGTGACGACGATGTAATCACAGTTCAAAGTTCACTTCAGGACAATGTGTATGAGGCTTCAGTATAGTTGCAACACATCCAATAGACAGACATTGAAGCTCTGATCATTTGGTTTGAAAAAGAAATGTGGCCTATTCTCATGGGTTGAATTTACACAGACAAATGTAGCACATTATTATGTTCTTTCGCATAATCCTAAATTATTTATGTCATTTTTACTTTTTACAGTCTATAGCGGAGACCTGGCAGCGTCTCCGTGTCATATTCTGTTGATAACACCAGCACACTGTGCTGTAGAGTACACACTCTTCCTCTACACCAGGGACCTAATTTAGGTCAAACATATCTAATGAAGGTCATTCAGTTCTGGCCTGCACACACAGTCGTCTTCTCTTTATTAATTCTGCTCAGATTTGCCCTCAATTTAAACACGACATTTCTTTCCCTCCTCTACATCTGTTCCTCTGTCTGCATGTTGGTAGCTAGCAATGCTAAGCAGCAGACATACTATTTGGTAATTGCTCATCAGTGCGACTAAACGAGGTGAGCATTCATTGATTTCTACAAGCACTCAACAGAGCTGAGCTGCCAGGCTGAAGATGGTGGTTTCACAATGCAAGCTAGTCCAAGCCTCACTGGCTCCAGGGTGACGCAGTTTGTTAACGTGGGATTAGGTGATAAAAAAATAATCTTTTGTCTGAGTATGAAGTTAAATAAAGGTGATATAGTGGAACACTAAATCATTTGATATGAAGTCGTTAAAGATATCATTTAACTCTTTTTAAATCTTATAATACTTGCTTTTTTAATTACTTGGCTCTTTTCTAGAAAAATAATTACAAGTTGAATATGTGTATGGATACAAAATAATTATGTTTATATGTATAAATCCAACTTAATATTTTGTATATAAGTTTATGTTTTCAGGATAAACAAGGCTACCACCTCAATCCTCCATCACAGCTGGATTTGGATCGATTAATTCCTAAACATGTGCAAAATACACTCTTCTGTGGCACACAGGCTGACATGAAGAACACCGGTTCCTCTCCAGTGTCCTTATTAGCAGTCTGTGGCATGGTTGCGTTTCCACCCAACTACGTTTGAGCATTTTTCCCACAATGGGGGACAGAACAGCATCTTTAACTCCTGAGAGTTTTGAGGCGTGTAACATCTGGATTGGCGACAGAGAACATCCAAGCGCTTTACTGCCTCTGTGCCAACCCTGTGCCAGGCAGTTGCTCCGATTAAAGGAGGACCCATTGATGCCCACTTTTACGCAATATGTGGCATTTCTCTTAGTCATTATTAACAGAAAAACATTCAGAAAATACACCACTCGTCTTTGTGATCCCAATTCTTGCCGCAGAATTCACGGCAAAGTGTTTAACGGTGGGCACGCCGCTGCTGTTCGTGATAGGCTCAAACATAGTTGGGGATTTTGGTTTTGATGCAACAGTTTTTTGTTAGTAGATCCAAACCCTCTAGATTTTTCTTCATAAATTCAACCTTGACGTTCATTTTTTTGAGCTGAAATCACACATGCTGTTCCTTCAAAGATTCACCATCACGTACAAGCTGATGGAGGAGACGACAGCACTGATCAGCGCAACACCAGCAGGACAAATGGCCGCGATGCATACATACACACACACAGCTTGTACATAACATAAAAGCTCCTTAACGCATGAAGGACAGAGAAGATTTTTTTTTTTCATCCTTCTCAGGTATTCAGCTTGATCAACCACCCTGTATCTGTTATGGAGGGGGCTCAGGCACATATCATGCGATAGGAGCTGAAAACAGAGTCACAGGCATTATGATCTGACGTATCAGCAGAAGACATGTAGGTACAGGGTTTTCTCTTTCAGCCAGCAAACACCGACACTGCACCATCCTCTAAGTTGTTTAAGTCTACTGGTTTGTGAGATGAATTTCTTCTGCAGGACTGGAATGCTGCCACTCAACATGACGAGTCAACGGAGAAGTAGCAAACCTTAAGCGACGACATGATGTACAACAACCTAAGAACAAGATTAGTATGCCTTTGAAGCCAAGCAGCCCTCCGTCCCTTTCTTTCTTCCTTCACAATATTTGATTTGAAGGGGAATCAGATGGTTCAAGTTGTTCTGTCAAAAGAAACTTATTCAGTTTTAGTGCAAATAGAACAGAAGCAGACAGGAGATATGAAGTCAATGAACCCAGCTGGTTTAACTTGAAGCATCTGGGCAGCTCTTTGGGAGATATGATATGATCAGCTCATCACTGCAACCCTCATCCTCCGAGAACCAGCGGCCTCAGCCGTTGAGTCTGGTCACACGAAGAGGTGAAATATTGCAAAGAATTACAGGAAGTACTCTTTTTTTTTGTCAACTCTTAAAATAATTCCAAAAAGTGCTAGGGGGAAGGGGCTGTACAATCCTTATTTGATTGTCATTATGTACATCACTATGGATACATTAATAAATAAAACAATGTCCAAGAGCATGGAAGTAACATTAAAGGTATACACATAGGAGGTCCGTCCAGTTTGGGTTCCTGTCCGACTCTTGATTCGAAGAATGAGAGAAGAGAAATGCTTTAGTCTTCAACATCCCTGTGATCATCATCGTCACTCCTCCACAGGCGATCTTTTCTCGTCTCTTTTGAAAGCGCGTACAGATGTCTGGTGAGTCAGCAAGAAAACCCTGTCGTGTTCAGCATTCATCTTCAACTTCTCTGATTGGTGGAATCAGACTACTGGTGGATTTGTATTGGTTGACTTGGTTGGCCATGTGAGTGCTCATGGGCTTGATCTGAATGTTCCGTGGGTAGGCATTTTCTGGTTCATCTGTAAACCATTTCTTTTCTAAAGAGGACAGGGCGAGAGAGGGAGAAGAGGAGGTAGAGTTAGTTTGGAAAAGGATGAAACATGTGATTCCTAACAACCATACTGCCCCAGTTTAAGTGATAGATTTGCATAGCATTCTTTTTGATCAGCAACCAATATTGAGGTCCAGATTGAGTTTGTGTTCTGGTCGGCTGAGCCAATTTCAAATGTCTTTTTGTTGTTTCTTGTTATTGTGTAAAGCTCCTGTGAGAGTTTCTAACTGTTTATGAAACAGAGTGAAATAAATATTACTGTCTAAATGACCTACAAAAGCAAGAGAGACCATCAGCATACAGACTGGTCATTTCTCCATAGGTATTTCAAATGTCTGAAACCACCATGTGTCAGTCAAAGAGATAAACAGCACACTGAAGAAACAGCCTTTTCTAACATTTTCCACAGCAAAGGTTCTCAAAGCGTGATACATTTAACTTTAAAAGTAAAGTAGGGGAAGTTTTAGGGTTAAAAATCACTACTTACACATGTACAGGACGAGCTCAGCAAAGAGGTGCCACTTTGTCTACAGGGTGCGCCAAAGTAGACACAAACTGAAAGTACCTCACAGTAACCATAATCAAATACAGGCTGGTAAGAAGAAATCTTATTTGAATTAACTGAAGTCAGTGAGGGCATTGTTTTAATTTGAAAGGGATTTTGGTCTATTGGACTTCAAAAGAAATCAAATTTTCGTGTACTATTTAAACCATGCAAACTACTCTCTTCAGCAAAGAGATATCTGATGCTATATCAGTAAAAAAAGAAGAAAAAAAAGAAGGACAACAGATTTTAGTTTTTTGGTGCTCACAGAAACAGTTTCTTGAGTTTTCAGTTCAATTCTGTCTACAAAGGAAGTAGTCCCAAAAAATATGCTTCTGCTGATTATCCAAACTGGAATCCTGTCGAGATTTATAACAAATTCAAATCTAGAATAAGCGCTTTCACAAATAAAGTAAATGGAATGATGTCAACAGATATCATGCCCAGTTGCAACTTCCTCTGAGGTTGGGACACGTGCACATAGTTCAAAGGTTTACACTTATCTTAAACAGTGTACCCTCTATGAATCAATTCATAAAACGACAGGGATAAAGGAAGAAGAAGAAGATAGGTGGGAAAAAAATATTCATAAAGTTATTAAAGCCAGAGAAATCAGCAATTTTATAGTTGTAACGGGATGTGTCAACCGCCATGATGAGCAGCCATGACAGACAAGAAATGTTAATCGTTAATCGCCAAGGAAACACCGGCTGTTACGTCAAAGACCGCTGCATAAGGATACACCGTCGGTAAACATCTTGTCTTACTCAGGTCGGAGAAACGGAGTATGTTTTCACCGGGTGGTCAGGGGGGAGTCGCAGAGAGAGTCACTACCATGATTCCCCGCCAGCCTCGACGTCATCTTCTGTTATTGTTTGGATTAAGAGCCCCCTGGCGGCGGAATTTACAACTGAACTGTTTTATTTCTAAGTAAGCTTGTTGTCTTATGCAGACAGTCATTATTTGAAAGAACATCTGAAAGATGAGGTCATGTTAGAGAAAACCTCTTCATGCTAAAATAGGCTATGAGAGCACTGTTTCAGAGCCGAGTTGGACGAAAGGAAAGGGAGTGTGCCAACTGTCAGAAGTTTGTAAACTCTCTGCCTGCACTTCAGACATCTGCAATGCCATTCAAGATGTCAGTTCCTCTTGGGTAAAGTTGTAATATCAAATTTTAACTTTGCTATGTGGAGCAGATAGTGTGTGCATGCTTGTGTGAATGTGTGTTCATGTACATGCAGGCTTGCATGTGTGGAGATTCATTTGTGTGTGCTTGTGTCTGTGTGTGTATGTGTGTCAGCCAGCTTCAGGCTGAGGGGTCGTGTGTAACAGCACAGGTATTTGATGTGCAGAATTGTGCCTGAGGTGAAGCAAGATGTCTGCCATCTCTCTCCAGAGTCTGCTGCTGATACGGGGAACTTAGCAATGTCGCCTCAAACCTTCATATCAGGTGCACAGGGTTACAAGGAGGGGACAGACTCATATCCCCTTCAATTTAGGCTCTAAATTGGTCATGCCTCCCACTTTTTTAGTGTGACTGATGGCACAGGGCTGGACATATTTTGCTACAGTTCTGTTAAGAAGTACGCAATTGGCTGCATCAGGGGGATTTGAATCGGTCTGACCTACATGTGAGCTGTGATCTAGGTTTGTACAGTTGGGCAACATGTTGTTAATCTTTGCTTTATGCTGATGCCAGTACAATATTTACCTATTATTTTTCATAAGGGTATAAATATAACACCTAAAAGTCTGCTACAGTCAAGAGCATTCACTGAGAGGGAAGATGCACAAACACACAGACCTCTCACACAATGCAAACCATCTCAAGTTGAATTAAATCAAAAAGGCATGATCAATGATAGAAAGAAAGTATATGCAGGAAGGTGTGTCTGGAGAAAAAGGAAACTCATATCATCAATTGAATAACTGAGATAAGGGCACAAAGAAAGGGGGGAGTGGGGGTTCGTCTCAACCTCATGCGATGTGGAGATGGCCCTGATCGTGGCAGGGAGGAGGCAAGAGCAGCAGCAGACACTTTGCTTTCCATACGAAAGCAAAACTTAAACTGAGGCATGGTTTACTTAACATCTGAAGAACATAATGAATAAAGACAAACTCCCCTCGTCATAACAATACCCACAGGGGACATAGTTATGATCAGAACCCCAGGTAAAGGTTGCTAAGTCATGCAGAATCGTTAACTTGCATACCTTGGCCCATTCTATTCATCCTTGTTGCACTTCAGAAAGAGAGGTAAGTAATCTACTGTAAGTGAGTAGTATTTACAGTCAATACACAACTGACAAAAGACTATCAATCTAACCAAGGCTTACATATTGTTACTACGGTATATAGAATTTATCATACATCTTCATTTTAAGATGTATTGAGGGCTTATCGTCTACCATTAATAATTTCTATGTCCTATCTTAAGTAACAGTAACAAATCTGCATGCTTTTAGAGAAGTCACAATTTAAAACAATCTTTACGTTACTCTCCCAGATGGAAAGTCAATTAAAAGAGTATATTTTGAGAGGGAGAATACGATCTATTATTACATAAAGAGCAAAGTATTTCACCAAATTCAAAATCATTAAAAATGTTTTGACAAACAGAACAGGAACAGGAACCTGCTACACAGGCTAACAACATCGACATGCAATAAAGCAGTACAGATGTACCTTAAATAAATAAAAATCTCAACACCACTTATGGATGATATTATGAATAACAGCTCATAAGAAGCCAAATGAGCTCTGAATTCCCTATCAGCTACAGAAGGTCAGTCACAAGACATTTCATCCATGATCATACTGATCATGTGCGCTAAGTGTGCACAAATATCCACCAAACAACAGTTATTTACTACACATGTGTTAGACACCAAAATGATCCAATATTAAGACAGAAACAACAGATAGACTGAAAACAAACTGAATATGTTGTGTACCATTATGTGATTATTTTGGGCTGTGGTTGAGGCCTTTACTGTCAGCTTGTTTCAACCATAATGGCTGTGCCATCCAAATAAGTCGTTTACTGTTTACAATGCCACAGGCATCATTCAAAAATAGGATTTAACAGTTATAAAGAAGCCCAGCTTTCCATAGAGTGAGTTAACCTTTTGTCATGTTATGAAAGCTGTGATGTGAGGGTGAATATCACATGCAGATGATTATGAAGAAAACACACAAACAACGGGCATGGATGCAAAACACGAGTCACACAAACACACCATACACAGTGTATACCAGTGCATGTGTCACCACAGACTGCACACAAACACACACACACACACACACACACACACACACACCTATAATCTACAGGTCAAGTATAAAACACTAAACATGCAAGCTGCAACACGAAGAGACTTTTGATTGTACGTACTTCTGTTTGTCGCGGCCCTCCCGGGTCTTACTGCTGCGGTTCTGCCGGTTGGAGGGCGGGATGGAGTGGACAGAGGAGCTCTTTTTGCTGGAGGAATGGGAGGAGTGGGAAGAGTGGGACAAGCTTGTCCGAGACTGGCCTGCGTTGTGGTCGAACTGCATGAGGCAGAAGATCAGGTCTGAGGGAACGAGCTCAAACTCGTACGGTGGGTTCGTGATCACATACCTGTCAGGGAAACAAATGTTGGAGAGATTAAACCTTGATGATCATTCTGCATCAAATAACAGAGGAGACCTTAACAGATGAGAAGAATCATGAGTATAAATGTAATTGCTCCAACACCTTTGAGCAGTAGGCTACAGATTAAGACAACAGACAAAAAAATTTAGTTGATGTTTAAATGTGAAAAAGTAAAGTTCTTCATTCACAGAATTGGATCAATACAAACAAACAAATGAATGTGTATGTTACTGAGCATAAACTTGACATTATACTCTGCTATTAACAGTAGAAATGAGTTGATGTTGACTTTGAGGAACAACAGAAATACGAGACACTTCATGTTTGTTTGGGTCGAAATGAAAATGATCACAATTAACAAGATGCAGAACCTCATATATGAAATGAAGAATAGGTTTAAACTGACACATACATAACTGTTACACATGACTGAATTCTGTTTGAGCGACCTTTAAAAACCTGTACAATATAGATTTTATATGATCACGTTTGACAGTATATGACTTTTATAGCATATAACATATTAAGTACAGACTTGATATTACATCACATGTATTTCATCTCGATTGTCAGTTTTGAATTTAATTAAATTTGATATATTTAATTTCATTTGCTAGTTGCTCATTTTTTTAATCACATCTGTTTTGACAAAGGGTATTCGGCAGATAATGTACCGTTTTGTACACTGGCTCGGGGAACCGAGATGAGCGTCTCTCAATCTGTAGATTCCAAAACACAGCATGTTGTACGTCTTCAGTGCTTTACAGAACAAGTCCCCGTAGCAACCGCCGTCCTGAGGAACAGAAAAGCAAAGACACAGTCAGAGTGGTATTGTAGGGCAGCCAGAGTAAATGTAATTTTCTGCTGAAGTTGTGGTGAGTACTGAATGTTCTGCATTGCTGAGGATAAATTGCTTGAGAGTAAGCTGTTAGCAATCAGCATAATCAGCAGTGTAAAAAAAGATGCCATAATTCATCTAAGGAAAAGCTAAATGACTTTAGTTTTAAAAGTTCTGTATGACAATAACAAAAAGCTGTAAAAACAAGGTTGGAACCAATTAAATTTGGAATTTCCTCTGTGGTGCTCATTGTTCTATAAAACCCACTTCCATCTATCCACATAGGCCTGCTTTGCGTGATCACTGTTCTTCACATCGGATTAAGGACCGCAAGGAGTGGAGGCAGCCAGATGTGTGCTGCTGGGTAGTGCCAAAGCGTGTCATCTTCGCTTAAACATCCACTTACCCCCAAGTCAGCAAATGGCCCGTCGTAGAGAGCTAGCTGGGCCACGCGACACCTGTCTCTGTTGGCCAGTGTTTGCGGTGTGCTGTAACCTCCTCTCAGAGCGTTCTCCTCAGCCAACAGGCCCTCCAGCTCTGGTGTGGCTCCCCCTGTGACCAGTGTCCGAATCAGCGTCAGGATGTTATCATTGAAGTACGTCTGGGGAGAAGCGACAGGGGATATGTGTAAGCAGATGCCATAAGAGTCACAAGTAGGGAGGTGGCAGATGTGGGAAGAGAGCACAGCCCCTATTATGTCAACCCTCAGCCTGTCTCTTCACATAGAGCTGACTGGGCGAGGAGGACGGCCATGGAAGATAACAATAATACATTTATATATAAAGTGCTTTTCAGGTACTCAAAGGCACAGTACATTAGTTAAAGTTGAAATATCAAAGGATGACAAAGGACTCTGTCTGTGCAAAATGCCTACAGTGGCAATATTCTGTATGGCAGATTCTTGGCAAGAACATATTGTTTCATGCATTATTATACAATGGCAATGTAAAATGGAAAGCTGCACCATTCAAGAGAGATTGTGCAAAAAAAAAAAAAAAAATCCTTTGCAAACAACAGAAATAAATTCAACATGATATATTTGAATTAGTGAAGTGGTTACAAATAGCCTTTATTAAACAATGTCCACGTTAGGATTGAGGATGAAAGCTCCCCCCCCCCCCCCCATTAACTACAGGAGGAAAATACACCATTGTGTATTTATCCCTGCTTATATCCCTGACAGTTTCCCTTTATTTTGTCACGCAGTGTTTTTGGTGAATGTCGATAAGACTGAGTAATGCTCCTTTAGGATATGTCTTATCTGTGGCCTAGTCTATTCCTGCCAGGTCCTTTTTTTAGAAAACCAGTTTTCAACACCTCTGTTATTTTGGTCAAAAAAATAATCATTGTAACAGAACATATTTAATTTACATCAGATTTGAAAATATATGTATATATGAGATAGTATTTAAAGCATCTAATTTAAGAAGTATGCACAAACAATACATGTTCTTCTATCATAGTTAAAGAGAGGTTATTGCTTAGGATTAAACTGGTACTATGATTTTACACTGCACTTTTTCATGCTGTAGGGACACAGCTCCACACACTGTATGATGTCCGCCTCCCTTCTGAAACAACGATTTGACTGCTCTCTGCGGGTGTCAGGTTCTCTTGTCCTTCAAGCCGATCAGGACCTGCTTTTGCTTCGCGTGAAGACAGCCGATGTCACTCGGCAGCCGGACCAGAGTGGCAGCTCCTCTCCCTGGGCCCCTGACAGGCCTGCGGAGCCTCATGATGGATGAGCACTGTCCATTAGCCGGCTTCACCTCTGACCAGTGCCAGACTACAGCTGACGCCTGCTCTACTCCCTGCTCAGCTCGCCTCTGCACGCCCCTCTAACCCCTCACTCACCGAGAGGGCTGCTGGAATTAAGCCGTCACAGCACCAAAGGGAAAAACCACAGTTGGCCATGAGAGGAGCGGGGGAGGAAAAATGAGGTGTAGAGGAGGATTTCTTTTACAACCCTCCTCCTTTATCTTATCTCCAGTGCAGCAATGACACTGTCAAAAGATGAAAGGGCTTTTTTTTGGCCTTTAACAGCATAGCCTGAGTAACAGCCATTCAACTAACCCTTAAAACTTACTTTGTAAAAAAAATATAATCAGGCTATTTTAAGTTTGAATACATCTCACTTAAGATGCCAACAAATTTCCTTTTAGTGTTTTAAGAGATGCAGGTATGCGTAATGAATACCTTTTTAAAGGTTTATTTTTGGGTCCTTTATGCCTTCATTAGTGGGAGAATCTCACAGTCTGAGATGAATGATGATTACTCATCATTTTCATTTCCATAAAAATGAGTGTGTGTTTTTTATGTCTGTTCTCTTTGACGAGGATTTTCTTTTATATTTCATATAATGGAGCTCCATTTGTGTCTTAATGTGACATTCTGTCAATTTGTATGCTTATTTCCCCCTTTTGTTAACCATTTGGAGCTGTGTTTGTTGTAAAAAAAATGTGCCATACAAATGAAGATAATAAAGGTTATTACAGTCAAGTATTTTAAAATGGTATTCCATTCTTTCTGAAATGAAAACAATATGATCTTTTTTAATTGACTGCTGGAGAAAGGAGCACCAAAGAAGCAGAAGAAAACAGAAAATTCACAACTGTATATCCTCAGGTTAATATCTTCTAAGGTGTCTCAGGTCCATCTCTCTAGCCTGTCTCACACCAAATCCCTCACCTTAAAAGTTGGTAACCCTCCACTTGAAGTTTCTACAAGTGCAACAACATGCAACTGTTACCAAGTGGGCATATCATCTCCAGGTACTTGGTGTGAAACCTCTCTCTACTTTCTCTCTTTGAAATTCTGTTATAACATCCAAACACTGAACACTCAGGAAATCTAAATCATGAAATGTTTCCAAAATGGATTATTGTGCAAAGCAATTTGAAACACACTCCAGTACAGACGGCGCGCAGGCTGCTTGGGAACTCACCGCACTCATCAGAGAGTCGAGCACACTGACAGCGAAGGCGGTGCCGCAGGCGAAAGGCTGAGTGAGGTACAGCTCTGTGTCTGGGTCATCATCATCATCCTGGTCCAGGAACTGAACGTTTGAGTCGTTCACTGGGAAAGGGGAGATGGGGAGTTAGAGACTGGCGGTGTAAAGGAGCATTAGAAAAACACACACACACACTCACACACACACATTTAACATCACGTGAGAGTTCAGAAATACATAGTTCTTTGTTTATGTCAAGTTTGATATGATTAGATTTGTCTATATCATGAAAATTTAACTAAACAGTCCACGATATAAAGGTATTGATGCAGGATGGGATCTTGCAATATGATGTAACAATAAACATTTTATCCCATAAGAACTGTCCTCTAATTATCTTTTGGTTAATTTAAAATAAATGTTTGGATGGAGAAAAAACAATCCATGTTATATCACATGCAGGATGCATCTCACACATTTAGACAAACAACAACTTCAGAAGAATATTTCAGTATATTATGCACACACAGGAATAACCATTGTAGAAGTCCCAAATTATGATTAGTACATTATTCTATTCTGCATGAATTCCTCGGTAGTCACTGTCACTTGAACTCTGTAGTTTAAAAATACTTATTGTCATTACTTTAAAACACACAAACGTTCAGCTTCTCTGTCTAGAAACAATGACTTTATGCACTAATAGGACTGAATGAGGAATAAATAATCACAATTTCATCAGAACACCATCATAGTTGCTATTTTAATGTGTCCAGTTTAGTGATGAAAAAGTGAGACTTCAACAATGGCTTCAATGTCACATTAAAAACATGCACTTATAAGTTCATGCTTCTTTTCAAAGCTTTCCTTGATCAATGTGTTTGTCACATCATCACCTTTACAGAGATATTTACCTTTGCCCTGAAAGTCAAATAAAGCCAGGTAACAACAAACTCTCGTAACCCTTGATTCATATATAAATATGGTCGGCGTATCACACATAGTGCCACCGGGTGACGGAAAATAACAACTCAAAATCACAGGCATAGTTTTAGTCACCCATGCATTGTGCAGTTGGTAGTACAATTGGATTGTACTCGTAGCAGCAGTGGGCTGTGAAGGGTCTATGAACCAGTATTATTTATAAAAGAAACATCATACAAGTTGTTGTTTGACTCTGATATCTGAGCTTCAGAGATATGGAGAAAAAAGAATCTGGAAAATACATTTTAAAAATAAATTAACAGCTTAAGAGATGGTTTGAGGTGGAGTTTTTTTCATATCTGATTTCTTCCCAGGGTTCCTGTGCTCTGTGGAACAGAAGTGTCAGTCAAAGAGACAAGGGGCTGATGCAAACAGGCCTGGTCCAAAAGGAGTGAATTGGGGGTTGTGAGTGCGTGTGTGCTTGGAGAAGGAAAAGGGGTAGAGAGTCAGGGGGGTGTTGATATGAAAACAGCCACAAGGACAGACTGAGTATGATCAAAAGCCTAGTGATGCTCGGCAAACGCAAGTGGAGAAAAAAAAAAGCCCCAAAAAGAAAAAAAAAAAATCATTAAAAAGGGGCCAAAACAAGACAGTCAATTTCAACCAGAAAGAAGAATAAAAATGTGTTCAAAGTGAAGCCATGGGAGCAGCGAGGGCCTTGACTGCAGCCAGATAAATCAAGACAAGCTGATGAGGAGCGGAGCGGCGGAGCGAGGGAACGAACAGCAGCAGAGGACAAAGGCTCAGCTTACCCAGCTCTGTTATCATTTGTATGTTGATTCCACTTTTTTTTTCCTGACTGAGTGAAACCAATGGCAGTAGTTTGCCAGGTTTAGCTAATGGCGATGAGACAGTGCAAGGAAGGGGAGAAATGGCGTCGTTATTGGAACAGTTTCATAGACTGCAGTAAAGGCATTTCGCTGTTTCAGAGTTCTTGTGTCAACTCCACAATTAAACTGACACTTTCATTGCAGAAACAAAGCAAGAGCTGACATGGCCTGAGACCACCACAACAGCAATCAATTCTTTCATAGTAAGACAGGGAAAGAGATCAACCTGGTTTTATCCATTCACACACCTACTTGAAATGTTTGGCTCACAAAATCATGCAACTTAGATTAAGCATAGGTTTATGCTTTCACTTGATTTAAATCAAGTTCTGGCTCTGCAAACTAAAGATATGAAAATGTAATCAGTGCAGAAGGTTCCAGTGAGACATGCAGCCATTCTTTCCTTTGGATGTTGTTCATTTCCCAACCAACAATTTAATCACATCTACCGCTGCTGTAGCTGCGAAATTCGCAAACTGGGAATAAGCTACGGAAGAACTAAAGCTTGGCGTTCAGTCAAAGACAACAACCAACAACCGATTCCAACATACTGTAGGTAGCATCAAGTTTTGATCATTACGTATGCGGCCAGCAGTCTAATGGGAGAGCATCTCTGCAGGTAATGGCTGGCCTGGTTACAAGTTACATTAGGTAGCTCCTTTCTCTTGCTGGCCTTTTCTTAGCTGGCCTCATGCTCCATTGCTCCCTAATTGGGTCAGGGGAGACAGAGTAGCCGGCCTCTGCTGCTTTAGAAGGCCCCTCAGAGATCTGAAAGTTTCATGAGTCCCCACCACCACTGGGAATACAGCCACTGCCATTGTTATTAATAAATGGACCCATTTTGCAACCAAGGCAGATTTTTTTTCCCCTCTACCTTTTCACTCTGTTTCTTTCTCCTTTTCTTACCCTCTATATCAGGCAGTTTCTCTTGTGCATTAATGGACAAATTGCAGGGCATGTAGCTTTAGTCTTTAAAGTGCCTGTCTGACATGCTCAACTTACAGTAGACAAAACTGTCCTCCAAGCAAAGATATTTTCCAGTCCTAACAGCTCACATTATCACCACTTTAATAGAGCTAGCCAGATCCAAAAAAATGCACGTACAAAAGGGAACGTGAGTTGGGCAAAGCTACCATGAAAGTGAACAAAAATTCCACATCACGCATTCCTAAGTCCGTTTGACTTGAATGAGTTGGAACTTTTGGTAGCAGCATGACGCATAAATCTTAGATTATCGGCTCTATGTATCTGCAAATGAATTATGAGTTGATCTGAGGTTATTTGGTTTTGGCATGCTGTTTTGCATTAGGTGTAGTTGGAACCAATATTACCTAGTTCTGTGATGATGGGGATGTTGGATCCGGTGGTGACGGAAGCCTGACGCACAAAGCCATGTACTGGGCTGCTGTCTGGAGATGACCTGTCCATTCCAGGGGGCGTGAAACCTGAAAACATACACAGGTTTGTATAAATGAGTGAATAACAGAATTGTTTGGTGTCAGAAAATGCTCCTCTGTCCTAAAGAAAAAAACAGCAGAACAAAACAGAGAAAAAGATGTCAAGTTCTCTGATCACACAATAACATATGGATTTGGATAGCTCCTGTCACTCTTCTGAACAATCAAAGTCGATTTTGAAAACATAGAAATACATTTTAAATTGTATACATTTAACACCAATGTCATTCTCATTGGTTAAAAGTAGAATTCCACCTATTTTCCTAAAATAATTCTTAATGGATGCTCCATTAAGTAATTTGAATATTAATTTTTTTGTATACAGTGCTCTTACTGACATACTGCTTTTTGGACTGTGGTTTGTGTTCTGTAAATCTGATGGTATTTACTGGAAGTGCTCGTTTCTATGGCAGAAAAAAAAATCAATACAAATGTTTGTGATGTGGTAGCTGAGTTTTGGCTTGTGGGGAAGTGTCTCAATCTTTTGAAGGTGGAAAAAAATACATTTCAAAAACAAATGTGCATTTCTCATAAGTGTGTTTTATCTGAGATGTATTATACGCATGAGGGAGTGACCTGGAACTGTGTATCACTGCCATTATCCAAAGTGTATGTGGGCTCAGTCAGCATGAAGTTGTTGATGTTGCTTTTCCGTGTCACCAATATGTGTGGATTGACAGAAAAATAGGAAGAAGCAGGCGAAAGCTAAGTGAACAAGGCACCTGCCTAAAAACTGCAATATGGATACTTTGCTTTTAGGGGTCAGCTATGACATATTTAGCATTCACATCCCTCCATCAACGGGCAGACATAAATTTTATATGTTGTTCATTTTGTTACAATAAAATTGGTGAAGTGGATCCTGAAAACCTTTTATCCGAAGTGGCGTGGCTGAGAACCATGAAATACAAGTGCAAGTGACAGGAGTGAGAATTCACATGACTTCACATTTTTGCATTTCCTCAAAGTGACAAGTAAACACCTTAAATCTGTAATGCTATATGCATAATGCATCAACTGTGTTTTGACATCCATCATTTAGTGCTGACTACAGCAAAATGCCAGCTTATAGTGCCACCACCAAGGAAACATAATGCAGGGAATATATTCAGGTCACAAAGTTTTAAAAGGATTGCAAATTCTCTATGAATGTGTACGCGCGTGTGCCTTCCCTGTCAAGAAACTCAATGAGCTGCTTACATTACAAAAGAGATCTCCCAGCTCTTTGCAACAGAAAAGACATCAAATAGTTTAGTACACAGCAGGAAGCATACACTGAACCGAAGCCTGGATAATCATAACTCTTGTTATTCCAATTACTGAACTTGGAAAAAGCAAAGGTTTGACACTTCGAGTCAACCAGAGAGCATGAGCCCAGACAGTGTAAACATCATTTTGTCGATGTCCATAAAAGATGATGTTTACTTCTCTGTAGAGTGACAGCATGTTTTAGGATACTGCCTAAAAGACTGCTCTTATGTATGATAGTGAACATGAAGAGAGTACAGAGCTGCAGGAGAACAGCTTCTGCACAGTGTGTGCAACAAAAAGTTGTTGGTGAAAACAGGGATACATGAGGCCTGTTGCTGTGCTGCTTTCAAAACCTGTTAGCTTACAAGCTCTTCTAAAGTTGCAATGTGAGCTGGTGAACTCCAAACAGAGAGCTGTATGTCTCCCTACAGTCAGAGCCAGAGGAGGACTGAGTTTACTCCCTGATCAGTGTGATCTTCTGAAAGTAAATTCATGCAAGATTTTTATTTCAAACATGAAACATTAAAATCTCTCTGTATACGATTAAACCTTAAGAACCTGGGCAAAACACGTACAGCTACACAGCTTGCCCTCTCTCCATTTTAAGAGGTAATGCATACTTGAACATGTTTCGAACTTTTAACTAAATGAGATGTGCTCTGATTTAACCGGTCATTTCTGACCAAATGTATATAAAAGAACAAATTTCATAGTTTAAAAATGTCTATAACATCGATGTAACCTTTGAAATCAGCTCTGAATCTCACAAGACAAATGTAGACATAAAGTTGGTTTGTCCAAGTCATGAAATGTATTTAACAAATCATTAAGCAATCAATGCCACAGAACAATTCCTGGCTAACACCCCTCACCAAATTATTAAAAAATGTTTTTGCTAATTTGTTTTTGCCTCCAATGTAACATTTCGGCAATCCACACAATCATTTCATTATCTGATCAGAACAGTGTTTGAAAACCAGCCTAGTCCAACAGCATCTCCTCTTCTTCAGGCTGTTTGTTATTACTGTGAGGCTGTGACCTCGTCTGTTCATCAACAATGTACAAAAAGACAACTGAGATCTGGGTTACATACCCCCTTATCCCTGTAGCCCCCCAGGCATAGTACTATGCTCTGTGGTTAACTACATGCTACAGCAGCCGTGAGAAGCTCTCCCCCAGGAAAGCACATGTTTACTTATTCATTTGCACCTTCTTGTTTTAAATTCCGCAGACAGTGTCTGAATGGGAGCATCGCTAGGAGGAAGGAATCCCCAAAGCAATACTTATGATTACAATAGCAGCGTCTAGCTATGTTCATGTTTCCTTGTGTATGCATGATTGCATGTCACTGTGGTGTGTATGTGTGTTTTCTAAAGTGAAGTATTTATCATGGAAATGGGTAAGACCCAATTATTGATGGCAATAGTCTCCATCCATCGACCCTAGTAGAGGATGTAGGCTAGTGGCTTCCATGTTGAGGTGGCTTTCTGTGAACACTGCACCCAAGAGCGACACACTCTAAGATTTACCCTGCTTATTGTCCCTCAGTGGCACTGCTATCGACAGCACATCACTCACTCAAGGCGGCTGAAATAACAACATTGGCATTCTACTAAAACATGGGAAAGTGCTCTGCACTAAAAAATAAATGGCCTCTTGGACCTTCAACTTTGATTTGTATTTACAACAGTCTCTGTGGTGGTAATAAATAGTACTGAGCTCAAGGCATGTCATGCCTTAAGGGCTAATCATAAACGGAGGATTACCTGTTTGTGGATGTGTGGGGAAGATTGCAATGGCAAGATTGTCTGTGCGTTATGTTCATGAACATACATGCACACACATCTGAATAAGAAGGTGTGTGTGAGCATGTGTCACTGTTTTGTTGTGACTAATGAGGAGCAGCTGAATTGGCCTGCCTGGTGATTTGTACTAGCTGCTTAATGATGATGAGGCCTGATGGGATGCCAGGTTCGTGCGTTTGTCTGCAAACATCAACAATCTGTTCCACACAATCTGCCAGACACCAGATCAGGGGGAACAACATCAAATGACACAGTCATGTTGATTACATCATTAAAAAATATTATCAAGGAGGTTTAGCAGCATGTAATTACCAGGGACAAGACTGGAATCATCAGACATTATGTGGAGTAAACACTCTTCAAAGGCTTGATGAAGCAATCAACAGAATGTTTTGTGTTGGCCCTTTTTCAGGAGTTACTGTAAAGGGATCATGCCACTTACAACAAACTTGCAGAATATTTCAATTAAGAACCTCTGTGCTTGACAAACTACTTCCACCCCTCCTGAGTAGCCCTCTTAATTCCCCTCTCCTATCCTTTCTCCCTCTTCTTCTTCCTCCATGTTTGACTGCTGTCTTTCCTCCCTGCCACAACCTGTCCCCTTTGGGCAGTAGTGCACATGAAGTCTAATAGGACACTCCTTACCTTGGGAATTAGCCTGTAAGACCCCAATGCTGTCATCAAACTGCATAGATTTGATGTTGAGTGATGCCAAGATGCATTCCTTATCCTGCAGAGAGGCGTCTTCGATATTGTTCTGATTGGCTGACAGTATTACGCACATGTCGCAGAGGTTGATGTTGACAGCCCTTAAATCTGCCCGACTTAATGGTGTACCCTTCAGGGTGAGGAGAACAGAGAGAAAGAGCAAGACAGAGAGAGAGAACACAAAACGCAGACAAGAGACAGACATGTGGGAGAGAAAAACAAATTCAAGAAGTGAGCAGAACGGAGCTTTGGGAAATTAGTTAACAAGTATTCTTGTTTCGAGGCGATGACATTCCCCTGATCTAACTGGGCATTGGAGAATCAGAGGCATGGACTAATCTAAAGGCTAGCCTGCGCTGAGGGCTGTCTTTGGGATTCTCCTCTGATCATCAGTCAAGCTAGGCCTAACAAGCTCTAAGGCAGCAAGCCACGCCATCTGTGACGGGCACTGCAGCTGCAACACACATAAACTCCATTTTGGATGTGCAGGATGTGTCACTGCTCAGTATGAGAGGGTTGACTATGCTCTTACGGAGTGATCGTTGAACTGAGTAATGTGTGATCAAATCAAACTGACAACCCCTCTCAGGATTTCAAAGTGTATGTTAACTCAAAATGTCAATGAGCTAGTTATTTAAACAGACTCGGGTTTAAATGTGTCAGCTAATGGGTGTGCTGGTACACTTACAGGTAATATGGACACCTTGGGGAAGTTGTGCAGCGTCTCCCACTCTCTTCGTAAGTAATCCAGTGAGCCCACAAACACTATGGGCTTCAGCTCGTGGTAATGGAAGTTACTTGCTCTTAAAGGCATCACCAGGTTTCGCAGCCCCACTAAAGCGGACGTGACATCCCCAAATATACAGACCACTACATGACCGCTCAGGACCGTCATCGAGGCTTCACTCCGGGTCTGCAGAGAGAGGAGGGACAGGGAGGGGAGAGAAAAGCAGAGAGAGAAGGATGAGGAGTGTAGACAGAGAAAGGAGGAAGGGGAGCACACTCAAGGACCAACACAGAAATACAGAATAGAAATGAGTACTGTTAATATAAAGGTGGTTAATGTGCATGAGCTACAATTGGTTCAAATGTCGTTTTTAGTGTCTGTATAAACTGTTATAAACCCAAATTAAATAGTTTGTTAACCAATTATATAATGTCCATCATTAACACATTTAATCACTAGTTTGGTTAACTACTATTTTGTTTATAAGCAGTTTATTGAAAACTCAAAAATTTTACAGAGCGAAAACAAGAACAAGTGGTCTTCTTTTTTTTTTTTAAAGGACAGCTGATTCAATCAGGCTGAAAAATGCAGTTTGTAAGATTTTAGGCCTATAAAGTATGTATGACGAGGACCCTGTCATAAATCACAGAGGTATAAATAAACAAAGCTCCTCTACTTTATGAAGTTCATGTCAAAAAAAAGAACAATGCAATGCCCTGCTTCTAAAATCTGTAGCCTGTTGGAGCAGCTAGATGTGCATTTGATTGCAAGTTTGGGTGAATGTTGTATAAGATAACGCTTCTGTGATGTCAGTTAGTTGGAAACTAAAACTATGTCTTTTTTTGTTGGAGACAAGAAACAGAACAAAGAATGGCAACAAAACAACTCCAGAATGGTTCATACTGTCAGCTGATTGTTGCCTGAGCTATTTAATTTGATATGCATATCTTTTTTAATTACTAAAACATTGTTCGGTGACCCAACTCAAGCAGGATTTTCCATCAGCCCCCCCCCTTAAACTAATGATGATTAAAGTAGAGTCATTTAAAGCAACAGTGCCATTGTAGTATTAAATCAGACAAATGCAACAAATAGATTTCAATGCCAACTAAAGGTAGTTTTGTCTTGTATGTTTCAGTTGGACAAAAAAAAAAAAAAACACTGGCCAAGCAAAAGTGCACAAGCTTAATGCTTACAAACTGCCTTGTTTAAACACCTGAGAAAACCCATGCGTGATGTTGAGATGCTGTTCATAAATCCTTGGTGGATATATGAAATAAAAGAACTCACCTTGAAACAACAGAGAGGCATTGAGAGAAATGTCAATACATATTAGTATGTGATCGCATTACTGTAACACTAAGGGGAAAGCTCCTGAGCATACTTACTCAGCCTTCTTTTTTGTGTGCATTATACATTTATACTTTAGAGGGTTGCAGCTAGACGGCTCTATCCTCACTCACCAGGATGACTTTTTCGATCTCCTTTGATGGGCACCAGTGAAACATCCCTGTCGAGTCATACCTCTTCACGTTCATGTCCATGTTCTCGATTTGTTCGTTTCCAGGAATAAGAAGGGGATCGTGTCGACTGGTGAAACAGAGAAACATACATCATGTTAGGTCATTTTGTAAAATAACTGCACAGTAACATGACACAGATGAAAGAACACGGGTTTGTTGAGATATACACTCACTGATAGACACATTAAAATAATAATAATTTTATTTATTTAGCACTTTTCAAGCCAGAGGCACAAAGTGCTTCCCATAGACAACAAGACAATCAATAAAGGAAGTTAAAAGCAGTTCCCACAAAAACACAAAAAATTAAAAGAGATTAAAAGAAAGAAGAAAGAAAAGTCCATCCTATTATCAGAGTGTCAAACTTTCTGCAGTACTGCATACTGTAAATATCACGTATCACTCCTCTGTTCCTTATTGCCCTTGATGTTAAGTGATCAGGAAACTCAAAGACCGTTGTGCTTGCAATGGCGCAGAGAACAGCGAGACCTGAGTGCTACCGCCGAATGGCATGACAATGCAAGGCCAATTACCAGCTTTTACCCCCTCTTCCAGTTCCTGACGCCATGCAGCGCACATAGTAAAAGCTCCAACAGGCTCACGTTTTAAATATTTCAGGAATTTGCCCAATCACATTTTGCTTCCCCAACTGATGGCCATTAATGTTTCAACAGCGTGTCACAACCAAACAGGCTAATCCACAGCAGTGGGCTGCTAAGTTTTATCCAGTGTAACACTGACCATGAAAGAGCTCCTGTCAGTCCTGTTATATCGCTTCTCTTGTTCTTGCACTTATCCTACAAGACGTGTTCTCACAGTTCCTCTTAAGGGAATCCAGAACATTCCTCCCAAAACACTGAGTCAGGAATAAATGCATACATTTATTGCTGTTTTCAATAAATGTTTCAATAAGGCTTACAGCATCGCCGATGTCATTGATTTACAATTCAACACAAATAATGATATCCGAGGTTAAAACAGACTTACACCGACTCCAAAAACAGAGAAGTGTAGGGAGACACACATTTGAGTAATATGGGAGAAAACATCTCAAGAATTTGACATACATCTCTCTCAGTATCACTCTCTCTATCGTCTATCAACACTGTCATCGCTGACAGGGCTTTGATGTTGCCTCTTCCTTCAGCCTGCATTTGGGTTGCATACCATGGCAGGAAAAGTAAAAGTTAAAAAAAAAGGAGCTGTCAATTAGCCACCCTCTCTCTCCAGCTATCTTCCCCCACTTTCCTCTATCAGTGTGTGCAGGTGATAATAACACTGACAGCATTTAGTGTTTTTACACTCAGCCTGAATCTTTCATCCAGAGGTGCGTGTTGCGCCAATCAACTCCACAGAGCCCCCGTCACTTCAATCTGCTCAGCTCTGCTCGCCTCCACACAGGGGCTGACTGGCGCATGCAGGCGGGCTGCCGCTCCAGCTCTCTCTGCCAAGACAGCTATCTTTCACAGAGCTGTCAGCTGTGTGACTGGCAGCCTGTCACAGGCTCCACACACCTCCTTCTTCCTCTGCCTTCTCTCTGCCTCGGGTTGAACCTGCCACAAGTCTCGTGGAGAGCAGACATGACGTCTGAGCCGTGGTGCCACGCCCAAGGGATATCAGCTGCAGATGATGCTGAGGCATATTCTGCGATTGGCTGCGTGTCATCAGTTATGACCCCGTCGAAAAGGTTGTGAACACAGAGTTAATGCCACTGTGTTAATGCCAATAACCATGCGAAGGATAGGTCAGCTAGCATGCAAACACTGATTAAATGTCATCTCTCATCTTAATACACTGATTGTAATTTCTAAAATAAGCAAAACCTAAAAACTTAATGAATATTTTTTGTATTCAGCTTGAGTGTACTTTTTGTTAAGTTAATTTATCATTCTTCAACCAGCAAAAAAACATACCCACTCAATTTAATACAATTACATTGCATCAGATTGCAAAGCAAATATTTTCCCTGGGCGAGATACAGTATTTATATCTGATGCTTTATATAGGACAAACATTTCCCTTACAGCATATCTCACTCCAGTGTCTCACCCCTCTCTCTCTCTTTCTTCCTCCCTCCTTCTGTATTTATTTCAAACAGACTTGAGTTATTCCAGTGTATCACTCTGCAGTCACAAGCTAGGGATGGGCGTGCTCCCCCAATCCCCCTCTGCCAGACTACGAAGGCAGCCTCTTGCTTTGAAAATTTTCCCCATCATGCAAACTGACAAAGGCATGCTTTTCAAAAGCCCACAGCCAATCTGTTGATCATTATTTATTTACAAAGGCCTTCAGGCTGCAAGTCCTGTAAAAACCATACTTGATACGTATGCTTGCTCTCGCTAGCTCTGTACTGTGTTATCCCCCTCCCTGCTTGTAGAATAAAGTATCCCTAAGGCTACCTCAAACAATCACTTTTCATTGTGCATAAAACCCGCCTTGTAAAGAACAACTGTTTAATATATATGGTGTTATATGTTGACAGGGGCAGCTGTGAAGGGGGGCTTACAGACTGTGATGGGTAATTTGATGTTTTGCTGAGGGCTAAGACTAGGAAAAAAAATCTACACCTATAACAGAGGACCTGTCATCCCAGTACCCAAGAGCCAGCAGAATACAGAAGCACCCCTAAAGCAGAGAAAACTTTGACACCGCTTTGAAGCGTTTTCAAAACTGAGTAAATAACTCGCAAGAATTATTAGCAGCGGGAGATCAAAGCAAAGATGCATATATTACATGGCAAACAGGGACCATCTCCTAAGCAAAAAAGGAAGAGAAGAAAAGGTTTTGTGCTTTAAGTTAGGCAAACTAAACAGCCTTTTAAACAAGCAGTTATCTGGAAATGTGCCAACGTCTGGTTGTTTTTGTAGCAGCCTTCTCCCTCTGAGCGAGGGCATCTAAAATGATGCTCTGTTGCAAACTAGACTGAAGGGTATGACTCTGTGTTGGGCTAATGGTTCAGCAAGTGTGGAGGCTTATTAAGTTCTTGTTTTGTGGAGAACTGAGGGGGAGGCCGACGAGTATACTGGACGAAATCACACAGACATGCCAGTGCAGTGAGAGGAACGCTGCCTAAGGGAAGTATGCAGGACCAACATACAAAGAACTCCACTAGAAATGGTGGAAAATACACTACAGGGCAATAAGAACAACAACAACAACTGATATTTTTGAAGTGAAAACAAAGATCAAGAAGTTTGAAATAGATATTCAAACTTCTTCATTTTTATTTTAACGTTGCACTTGTGTCACGAAATAAACACTAACAATAGAATCTTGTTTTTGCTAATAGGCTTTTAAGTATTCAAGGTTAATACAAAACATGTTTATTTTACCACACATTTCAGGTAAAGGACTGCCAGTATTCTAACAGTGACAAGCATGTGTGAGAAAAACAACACAGCTCCCTATTTTCCCTTTGTCAAGTCATACAGATGACATCCAAAACACTTACTCTCACTTAGAGAAGGGCAGCGTTGTGTTTCTGTCCTGTTACATCTTCCCCACCATGTCCTCACAATGCCGTCCCAAACCGCAAAGCTCGGCCTCCTGTGTTTTCCACGCTATCGTGTTGCTAACCCCCCCCTACCCCTTTTATCTTTCAAAATCAATTAACAGCAATTTAATTCCACAAGACAGGATAAAAGGAAGGTAATATTTGAATTCATATTTGATTGTGATGATACATCTCACATATGGCCTTAAGTACCAGAAACAGTACTCACAGGGGTTCCCACAATAGAGGAGTAGCCTGAGGGCAGAGTAACCATGCAGGTCCCTCTGATTGGTTGCTGGTGTCATTAGTGCCAGCATTGTTTAAGGAGCACATGTGGACCAGACCGGAGGAGATGGCAGCTGGGACTTTAAAGCCAGAGGAGTTTTCAAACGGCTCCTCACAGCCACTTTTCATGACAGAAATATTATTTCAGCTCTGTCATTAACAGCTGACAGCATGCCATCCTAAACAGCCAGAGTCTAACAGGGCACTTCTCCTCTCTCTTTCTCACACAGACTTTCTTACCTCCTTCCTCTGCCACCCCTAATTTGCCCCCTCCCATCCATCCAAAACTCCCACCATCACACCATCCGCATCTGAAGCATCTCTCACTGACATACCTCCATCCCTTCCTCCCCGCCTCCCCCCCATGTATCTAACTCCCTCTCACTCTCTGTTTGAAGGCATGAAGGAGAATAAAATCCGCATCTCTTACCTCATCATTTTGGGCGAGCAGTTGGGCGAGTTTCGCATCCCTCCGTTGCGCTGCTTTTTTTTGGGCGAGAGAGTTGATGGATGCTCGTCCTCGACTGCAAAAACATGCACAGAATGTCAGAATAGAGATAGTTGCTTGGAGACGTGTGCTGGACCTGACATGGAAAGAAAAAATGCCAACAACCAAACATTGCAAACAAAAAAACTTAGACAGAGGAAAAGGAAAATTAATAATTCAGTGTAAAATTGAGAAAATATAGAAAAAGCATTAGTAACGGACAATGGTAAATCTGAAAAAGGGCAGTAGAAAACCACAGAGAAAAAAAACAATAAACAATTAACTTCCTGAAAATGTCACCGCAGGCTCACGTCCTAAAACACCCTTTTTTATGGCTACTCTAAGGTTCACTTTTACAGGGCCTTTATACACTTGTATGTACAGTACACTCTCCTAAATGTGCAGGGGATTGGACCTATAGCAGTTTGCATCAGAGTGACCATGCTTACCTACACCACTAATTGCCATGTGATGGTATAGATTGTCATTGTCAGTGGGCACGGGCAAAAGCAATGACCATGAGATAAATAAAGGTTATGCAGATGAAATTTGACTTTATATTTTAATGAATATTTCTAAACCCCATCCAATCATTGCTGTGTGTTGTAAAGAGCAAAATGCATGTTCTACAGGTCTACCTCTAACACTAGGCATTGATCACACATCATGGAGGCCATCTAATTAATTAGTAAACTATATGAATATCGAAGGCTATGGAAGACAATTAGAACCACTTGAAACGTTTTGACTTTTTCTCAGTATTCTGACTTTAAACTCAGGCTTCTGAGATTCTCAGGAAAAAGTCAGATCGCTAACTTTTTTTTTGTTCAGCGGCATAATCCTCTTCCGTATAAAGCAGATAGTAAATTTTATATGAATTTTATGTCCTGTGAAGATTGAATAGTGTGTTTTTGTTTGATGGTTTGGTGTTACGAATTTGCTGGACGCCGAGCAAAGCCATGTTATTTCTTTATAAAGCAGACTCTGCTTCCTGTCAACTTTCAATGTTGAGGAATAGGGAAAAAATATATTTTCAGACTTTGCTTTAGTCCCAGTCGAGGACGAGAGAAAGCAGCCTTTGTGAGGTCAGGCCCAGTCATCTGAAGATTTCAGTGAAGCCAACAGTAGTCTGATCTTCACTACTGTCTGTGAGTTTCAGACAGGCACCCAGATATTTCATCCACTCTGCACTCTCCCAGCGCAAATGCCAAGTGCACCGTCACTTCAAACCCGTATTAGTCCTTTGGTTAGGAATCAATAACACAGCATGATATTAGTGCAAATCAATGTGCACGCTGCAAGCCGTGACTATTCCAAGCATGTGGAAATTCATTACTGTCTGAGCACCCATCCTAAACTGTCACCTAATTCTGCTAATAAAAGATAAGAAATATGACTTTGCCTTCTAATAAAATGTCATTCCCTGACATTTCCTTTATGCAATTGGGAATACTGAATAGCTAATATCACAAGCACTTTCCACTTTACAAATAATTCTCTTTCTTATGTGCTTTGAGAATACCACGTAAAAAATATTCATTATCCTTGCCATATTGCTTGACAGGCTGCTCTTGGTTTAAACCTAATCTATTAACAATAAAAGCATATTACTCATCTGCATCTATGACAATACAATTAAATGATTAACAGCCACAGGGAACAGCTTTTAAAGAATTAAAGAATTAAAATCTGAAATGAATATCCAAAAAGATCAATATCCTCAGAGCTCCTGCAACATTTCTTAAAGTAAGCACCAATATTATCCTTTCGATTGACTTTAAAGTTCCCAGGTTTAGCACTCCTCAGTTAAAGTCTCCCCATGTAGACAGAAGCCACTGCACTAGCAGGCAAATCCGTGCAAAGCATCAGGAGCAACAACATCAGCAGCTCCAGCAGTGAACCGCCATGCAGCAAACAAGACAAAATGAAGGGACGGACAGGCGGGGTTACTGGCTGATGCATCCCGCTAAGGGGGCAACCTACGGTGCCTACTGTGACTGAGCAGCATGGCATTACTCGGGTGGTAGCGGTATTTCACCGGCAGACTGCGGGCCCGGTTCAGCCGACTCTCAGCCAAGGATCTGGCCGTCACGTCTCCTGGACCTGAGATACTGAAGCGCAGTTTCGAGGGCTTGGCCCCAGGCCCTGGCCCCACAGGGAGCAGGCTTCCTTTACGGTTATTAACGAGGGGGACGTTGTTTGTGCCCGGCTTGACCGGGGGCTCCTGGTTGGGGTGCAGGGTGTTGGGAAGGAACGCATTTGTGGTGATGGAGGTTGAGGTGCAGCCCGTGGTTTTAACTGATCGGTTTTGAAAAGACGGTTTAACCTCATCCATTACTGTCAAACAATGGAGAATAACAAGTATGAGAAAGCCTGTATGGTGGTCATAAATTAGTTAGTAATTGTAGAATTGTGTTAAATTTCAGAAAATGTACTTCTTTTATATTTTTGCCCATTTGTTTGAACTTACAGAATAATTATTTTACAAATTTCAGGAGAAATGTCACTTCTTCAGGGGAGGTTGTTAATATTTAAAAAAGGATTAGTACTATCTAGTAGGTGACATTTTAATCATAACAATAATATCTGTTTGAGGATTGTTAAAGGCTGTAAGAAAAATGACTATTTTCTTTATGTTAGTCATCTCTGAAAGACATAAATTCTCTTATTACTCTTATTAATCATATCTCATCTGATTATCTGTTATGCACAATGTTCTCTGAAGGAAGTATGAATTAATAAGTAGCTTCTAAGTCTTCTCAGATGTGCTACAAATTCTTGGTAGGACAAAGTAGATACACAGCTTTGTCTGAAGCCAGACAGATCCAATCACATATTGTAACTCTCAAACATATTATGTAGCACTACATTATTATAAAAAATATATTAAAAAAAACAATCACTAAGAATTTATATTACTAATTTCATTCTTTCATTTTTAGTGTTTCAGGGATTGAATCTGGATTATGTTCTTAAAATATGTTTTTTTTAAAACTTTAAATCCAGTTTTTCTTTTGTCAACCAAAACGCATTCATTTTTTTGTTTACTCCAACTTTAACAGTCACAGCATGTCCAGTGGCAATCTGCCATGTTCAATTGAAGACTGTAAATCTAATGTTCACTCTGCGCTGTCTCACCAAACACACGTGCACACACACACACACACAATCCAATTGAGGCTGCAGAACCAACCCATATGTTGGTATGTATTGAAGGTTTGTGAACTTGAATGAGAAAGGAGGGGCTTTTTTTCCTTTCTTTGGTAGAAGGGTGGTTGGTTGGTTTGTTGGTTGTTTGGAGGAGAGAGCATGCTTGGGTGGCCCCGGGCGATAAACAGACGTTTATCCCGGCCGTCAGCTGCCTCCTTGATTTACGGGCCGCCACCGATAGCTCCTGGATTCATCTGGCCCTTGTCAAACACGTGCAGCGTTAGAGAGCGCTCACCCGCCCTGGCAGGTCCACTGTGCATCCTGAACAACCCAGACGGCAACTGTCCCTTCCTGAAATGCTAATCACATGATGGTACTGTCCTGCATGCAAACCTTATCGGATCACTGAGACCCAACGTAAACTGGATGATTAGCAGTGGAGTAACAACTAAAATGTTTACTTTTCTATGTGAGCCAAGCTGGATTTGCCTTTACAGTGTTTGCTGCATGAGCAAGCTTTGTTCTTCATGTGCACTGCAGCTGCATGAAAAAGCTTTTTTAGGCCATGCAATGTTGTTTCTTTGCTTTTTAATAGGAGGATAAATCTGATATTATAACTGTGAAGAGTCCTCGTGGTTTTCTCTTTCAGAGAGGGAAGAAAAAATATTTTCAATACCAAATAAGAATAAATACATTAAATACAAAAGAAATTGATACAATGTAAGAGGTGACATATAGCATTTCAGAACGAAAATGTAATCTTAACCATTAAGTAGAAATGCATTTAACAATTATTTATCAAAGATTTACCTAAATTGCAATCAGCTTTGAATCGAACGCCAGCCTCTTTCTGACTTCCACTGTTCCCTGGTGTTGTAGCGCCATCTGCTGCTAAATGCAGCACAATACAAAAAGAATATTTCATGGAACTAGATGGTATTATCAAACACAAACGTATTTATATCAATTGCTATTGAAACCAGGAACTCATTACTTTAACTTATTGTCAACATATGTTGAAATTATTTAATAACAGGTGAATTAGAAAGAACAGTGTGAAACATTTATTTTAAAACGAGTTCAACTGTGAGTTTACTTTGTCTCTGTGTAAGACACAAGGCAACATCAGAATGTGCTTAAGGGATAAGGGACAAGGAAGCATAACTAAAGCAAAGTATCAGTACTGATTATGTTCTATGACAGAGTGAGGGGTCTAAAGTCTAAACATAGAGCTGGAGCAGAATGGAGAAGGACAGAGAAACACACTTACGTGGTCTGACATATCCATTATACTTATATTTGGCTGAGGAGAATGCAAAGACAAGTGGCAGGTCACACAGAGGGAGAAAAGATGTAATGAAACAGGCACATTAGGAAATAGAGACATCAACATAAGAGCGGTGGATGGGAATTAAATCAAATGTAACTATGATGAGGTACTATAATGAGTAAACAGATCAAAAAAACATCAATAATTAAATCAATGAAAGAACCCAGTGGTATTAATGAGAGTTTGATGGCACAAAAAAGGCAGACAGTTGAATGAAAAGAAACATCCATTCACAAAGTGAGCCATGCTTGAAGAAAAGTGTACTACTGAGATGTGATGAAAGACAAAAGGCTGATTTCTGAAACTAATTTTTGAGGTCAGCGTTTTTGTGGTATCACAACAATGTAAAGTTCCTCATTTGGAAATGCTTTAATTCTTAACATTTTGACTTAAATGTGATGAACATTGTGAGGTCTGTAGAGAGAACAGATAAAGCCACCATGGGGAACAAAGACAAAAGCTACATACTTGAGAGCATGTAGGCGTCCAAAACACAGACAGCAGACAACCGCTTCTCAAAACAGGAACACTAACAGAGCACGTGTAAAGAGACTTGCTCTTTGCATGCAGGCCAGAACTTTAACACCTCTGGAGATGAAAAAAAAAAAAGATATTTTCAAATGTGGGTTCAATGCTAGAATTTTACATCTCTTGGCTATATCTTTAAAAATGTCTCCGTCTGTGCATGCAACATTAATCAACCAGGGACTGCAGTTTCACAACTCCACTGAGGAGGAACTGAGGACTGGTACAAATAGAAACACTGGTACATCGGGCACTTGAACTGAGCACTGAGCTGCTGAAACTCCAACTCTTTTCCAGTCTGTCTTCCAGCAGTAAAGGTCACAGTGAGGGCCCTGGGCTGGCCTATGACACAGATCATCCAACAGGGACCCTCAGTGGCCCTGGCATCTGTCTCTAGCAATCTGCCTATATCACAGAAGCAACAGACTAACTGGCTAGCATTTGGGGCGTAGCGAGGCGGCATAGGACAGAGGGTAGGGGGTAGCAGGGGGTGGAACCAAGCCTGCCTGGTGGACAGGAGCTGTCAGGGCAAGTTTGGTGACGGACCAGCAGGGCTGGGAAAATGAAAATGCAAACATAATTTCCGTGTCAGGATAGATAAGGTCCCCAGCAATGAGATGCAGATGCACACACATGCACAGAGAGAGAGAGAGAGAGAGATGAAAGTGCATGTTGTTACACACACGACATACAGACACACACACACACACACACACACACACACACACAGCCCAGAAGGCCATGGGCAAGCCAAAAGCATCCACTGAGCCTGGGGTCCCCAACCCTTGTCTGTATCCAAGCTTTATGAAAGATTTAGCCTCTGTATTATATAAAACCTGTCACGTCTCTAGCTTCTCACACTAAAGAAAGTTGGCCACTATGCTCATGTTCAGGTCACAAAGAAAGCCAACATGACACTAATACACAGACTGAAAATAAATCTCTGAGTCAACTGAAGTACTCAACATTACTTAGGAGGTTATATTTCAAAATCTAAATGGTTAAAGACAAGAATCCGTACACAGAATCAAACATCAGAAGAAGGGACTACTTTTTTCTAATCTAGTCTATGGTCCTTATACTCTGACAAATTCAACAGACTTCTCACCTTTGCTCTCTGCAGTACTTTTCTTTTTTTTTTAACCTTTTTAAAATCAAAGGCATCCACTTCAATCTCAAACTCATGTCTCATCTTATTTCCATTCCAATAATATACAAAACAAAACAACTTTTGTGTCTGTTTGATATCTAGTAACGGACGACTGTAGATTGCATATTTGTCACGAGATTGCACAAGGTGAATCTATTTCACCAGAAGTGCCGTAAAAGGATGTTCTAAGGGACTCTTTATCAGATCTGTTAACAGAAATGTACATTTAATCAAACAGACAAGTCTAAATCTCAATAATCACTCAGACAACAGCTAAAATTGAGCACAATTTGTTCAAATGAGCTGTGGCTAAATGATGAAATTTTATTTATTGTGTGCGGCTGATATCAATAGTGGAAGCACCGCCAGCCTTCGGTCCTCCTTGCAGGTTAATGTCCACATACTTTTACTAAATGTCATTACACATGGAGCCTGTCGATATGCCGTTTTAACACACAGCCTACATTTTATCTCAGTTTTATTAACCTTAATTAACATTCAGTTTTGAAGAAAAGACCGTATATCTTTTTTGAAAGGATGTTCTCAATAGAGAGCAAAATCAGCAGCGTCTGAGTTCTTTGATAGCAACCACTGCACCATGCGTCTTTTCAGAGGATTCACGAGTGATAGTTCAGTATTTATTCAGCCAGTCCAGGCGCTACTACTGACACATCTCAGCTCGTACTGTTCAGAAAGGTACTGATGACGCCGCTCCAGGCAACCCATCATACACTGAATGGGGGCAGGACTTGTCACCCATGTAACCAAGGAGACAAGTCGGATGACCATCACAGATAAAGCGAGCTTGTGGGAACAGATCGCCTGGCTGTTGCAACCAAATTTTTGTATAGATGTGAAGAACAATGGATGATAAGAAAAACAAAGACTGACTGACATGTGATGTGTATTGTTTTTGTAAATATCACTTATGTCTCTCTATTGTTCAATTCAAACTTTGTTTCTGTTTAAAAATAAAATCCAAAAGCAACACGTGTTGTATCGTAATTCTTCAGATTGGCAATACAAATCGAATCAGCACCAAATAATCATGATAAACTTGAATAAGGACAAAAGCATGTTTTCCCATCCCTAGTGGCTAGGGCCAGCGCTGGACAAGGAAGAAAATGTTGAAAACATTTTTGGCTAAAACCGGCCCCTCACAACCACACGACAGAAATGTTCACCAAACCTGTCTCTCTTATTAATAGGTCTACTACATTTATTTTCCAAACCATTACAAGAAAATAGAAGCAAGTGCCATAGACACATGTAGAGGTGCATAGTCCCTCTGTTTTGATTGACTCCCTACAGGTAGTATAGTCAGTATAGAGTAGAAATATCCCCCATTTATAACCATCTCTGGTATACATTAAAGCACAGAAGAGCAACAGATTTAACCTCAAACAGGTTTTTCATACATCTTTAAGGACCATCTCAGTCTAACAATGTTACGGATATTATGATATCTACAATACAGAACTAATTCTCTCACTGCTGGGCCACACTATCATTAGGCCTACAGCTCTATTATTACTACGGCCTCACTCTTCTTGTGTTCACGATGCAGCTTCCTCTGCTTCCCATGCACACACCTGATCACCCTGCTCTCTGCCTGGCAATGCCATACACGTTTCCAACTGTGGCTTTATGAAAGAGGGTGCCGAAGGAGCAGTGTCTTCACAATTTTTTCCTCATCTTGTTTAAAAGTCTTTTGAACTCATGCTTCATTGCATACCTGAGGGATAATTTTGTCACACATGTTTCGTGTTCTTCCAAAACACTTACACTGAGCAGGAGCAAACAGAGTGGGGAGGGAACTGTGGAGACAACCCTGCAGGAGGATTGGTCGAGCCAACTGTCAATATAAAGAAAACAACCAATAGGCAGTTCTCCCTGCTATGTGGGTGATAAGCAATTACAGAAATAAAATCAAAGATATATCATACTGGCCCCATAGGGTAGCGGCCCACTAGGAAAATTCCCGGTATGCCAGATTACCAGTCCAATCCTGGCTACAGCCTCTGCTAGGGCGGGTGACAACATTTGACCGGCATTGATGGCCAACCCATGAAAATATTAATAATTTGTTTAACCGATAAGTAATTCTAGTGCTGGCGTTTGACCTTTCAGTCAGGTAGTTTCGCAAATCCCTAATCACATTAAAACTTAAAACATTAAACCCTCGAGTGAGTCTATTTTCAAAAAGGCTATCAATTAAATATTATCTCATTAAAGTCCACCTCTGATTAAAGCAAATCAGAGGTTTATTTATAACACACCATTAAAGACGTGTCTGGGGTCCCACTGTGTATGTGTGTGGTCTTGCACCAGATCACAGGATGTATTAATCAAAAGTGTGTTATCCAAGGAATCAATTATCCAAGTACCAGGGGGCCTAGAAAAGTCTGGTTCAGAAGTACAAGCGCATGAAGTCATCATGGACAAAGATGTCTTATCCTCCTAGTCTGGTGGAAAAAAAGACGGGAAACGAGGGGAGGAAATCCAACAATCCCTCACTGACAAAGCCCAATGCACTCCTCCACTAAACTCACTTTGTTCAGGCAAAGTCAGAGTTAAAAAGGGAAGGAAATCTAAGACAGAGGAGGCTTTTCCTGAAATCCTACAGGGGGTTGAGGGAGAAGTGAGATCAGTAACCATGTAATGGCCAGTAATTGGTACCGAGGGATATCAGCGCAGGCTGAACTAAAAGAGGCCAAGCCAAACTCATCATGGCATGTTTGACACTAATCTAGGCTGAGTCGGCAGACGGTGGGAGAATGTTGAGAAGGAAATCAGATCTGTATGTCTGAAACCAACGCTTTGATAGGGAGTCCTACTGCTGCCATGTCTAATTGACACACAATTTAGTATTCCACTAAAAAAGTAAAAGAGAAAGGAGTGAGGTATTCCAGGAGCTTTTTTCCTTTCACCTGTCTTTATCAAGCCAACATAACCATTTTATAGATCTCACTTTGGTTTTTTCTCTCCTCTCCTTTTCTTTATCTAGTTGCTTTTTTTCCCTTTCTTACTATACAAAAGCATCATTTTCCCCCATTCTACGGTGTTTCTTTTCCCTCCCAATCCCCCCACCTTTCCAAAGTATGTTTTGCAAGCTGTTCAACAGTGCACTGAAGAAATTACACTATTTCAGGTAAGACAATCTATTGTGATCAGAGGCTTAGCCAGGCATTCTAGTTGAATAAAACGTATAATTTGAATGGAATAAATGTTAATTGTAGGCCCCTGATTTCTTTTATTTTTTAGGAAATAATTTCCTGTAAGCTGAAAGGGTATTTCAGTTACTTTAATTAATTGTTACTTCCTGTCCTGAAGAAGTGTCAACAGTACAAAC